GAGACTGTGGTCTGTAAGAGGCGTAGCATGAATGTTGGTTGAGTTACAACTGCTTGCTAGACTTTGGGAAATAAGCCAATAATCTATACAAGACGGTTTAGAGTGGTCCTTGCTGCTCCAGGTATAGAGTCTCTGCAGTGGATTTGTTTCTCTCCATATATCAACAACACTAAATCGCATCATAAATGTATTCATAATTGGACACACAGAAGCCGCTCTTGAAGGAAATCACTATTTATTACCATATTAAAATCCCCATCCAAAATAAAACCGGCATTTGAGTATTTATTTATCCAGTACTGTATATGATCACTAATCACATCCATTAAGGTGTTTGTTTCCTTTATATCCATACATATTTATAATAACTATGGTGGTCTGGCCAAGTAAAGTCACTAACAAAAGAAAATGAGCCTTAGGGTCACTGACGAGGTGAAGTATTTCACCAGCAAACTTATTTTTCAAAATAGCGACACCTGCTGATCGCTCTGTACCGTGAGACATCCATATATCACTGCCCCACTGGGACCTCCAAAATTTAGCATCATCCTGCGTGGAATGGGTTTCTTGAAAAAAACTAAAATCTGATCCGTGGTGTTTAAAGCTGCTGTAGGGAGTTTTGAGAAAACGTTGACTTGGCCTGAAAATTTGAACAAGCACAACTTACAGGTCCCACCCCCTTGCTCTCTGCTGCGCTACAGCCCTCCTTCCACAGCTCGTCCTCCACAGCGGAGCCTGTCGTGAACACGCAGGCTAGTAAACAGGGCCACCGATAACAGCGGATAAAAAGTTATATGGCACATTCACTAATAGGGACTAAACGTCAACAATATGCTTTACATTGACTATGGCCTGCCCATTCTTTGACTACAAACTTGGTCCTCAAATCATTATGTATTTTGCAATACATGTAACTTTATAACGTTGCACTATTTTTTATAAGTTATAAATAGCTAGTAAGATAACGTTAATATAACAGTAACTAACATTACAGTATGTAAGTAATTATTCTAGCGATATATAATGCTAGATAAGGTGTGCTAGTACATTATTTCAGCAACATGACAAGCCAGTGAACTCGCGCTGTGCAAGAGAGGGGTGTGATCAGCGTGTACACGAGAGTGATTGACACTGCTAATACATTCCTCCTGGCTCTGATTGATTGTTTCTGACCGGGAGTGTGTATTTCTGCAAATGGCAATAGGACCACTGGGAGGAGCCAGAAGAGCTTGATTTTTTCACAGATTATCTGTCTCATATTCTACTGTCAGGACATAATGACAGTTTTTAACAAATATGTAAAAAAATATTTTTTACAAAAGTTACCTACAGCAGCTTTAACGAACAAAAAAAGGGCTTTGCGTTTCACATTGTTTCTTAATCCCCTGGCATTCAGAGAAATGAACGATATCGACATTAATAAATGAACAACAGAGAACAGTTATTAACAAGAATCGAAACAAAGGCAAAAAGTCCAAATTGACCAATGAGAAGAAAATGGAAAAGAACAGAGCTTATGTGACCATTTAAAACGACCAAATTTAAAGGTCCAGTTGTAATTGGACGAAAACTCAAATGCCAAAATGACAGTTGTCACCTTTTTCGAAAAACAGTTATCATATACGTAACTCTCTTGATGAAATTCACAAAGTAATCTCCACACCTTCAATAAACGCGCACGCTCTGATGTAGCCTAATAGGCAGTTTTTCCAGCATCCCTCGCCTCTTTTACTCTCGGCCACAAGGTCTTTCCGTCTTTCCCGGTCTGCTGAAGTCAGATCCTCAGCGAAGTGCAAGCTGTTATCTTTAAGAAACTGGGACTTCTTGGTAGCTCTCCATAAGGCATCGCGTGAGGTAAACTGCACGATGATGATGAGAGGTCTCGTTGACGGTTCTCCTCCCCAGCCGATGCACAGTGTCAAAGCCGTCAGGGTAGGCTACTTGCTCCCAGATAGCACATGTACATCACGGAGAAGTGTTTACATCTGGAAGACGTATTTTTTAGAGTGTTTGCTCATCTGCAATACGTCTATAGGACGTTTCCTGTCAGATGTCAAATAGACGTTTAGAAAATGTCTTTAAAATTTAATGATTTAGAATGTATGTTAAACTGACATCTTAAAGATGTCTATCAGATGTAAGTAAACAGCAGATGCTTTCCAGATCTTTAACAGACATCTTGCAGACGTCTGGGCTCTTGGCCTCGGGGTAAGTCTCGCCGCAGATGCGAATTACCTCGGATCTGACATCTTCCTTGTAATTTTCAGACACCCCAAACAATCTCAAGTTCCACCTGCGAGAGTATCTCTAGATCAGAAATGCGTGTTTCACATGTGTCCGCGAGACGTTCTGCTTTAAGCCTGGTATCTACATCTTTCACATTCTTCTTTAAATCTTGTACTTCGGCACAAACAAAATCTACAGTTTTCTTCAGCCCTTCTATCTTGAGGGCATTGGCGCTAATCATTCCTTCAAGCGCGTCAGACCGAGTATTGATCAAAGAGGAGAGTGTGGAATGACGGCAGAGCCAGCCTGCTCATCTGGATTTGAGGGTTTACCTTTTTTATTGACAGGTGGCTTGCTTGGAGTTACAGGGAGCGGAGTCGCATAAAGATCTGTCTCTTTACCAGCAGGAGAAACATAATCGTGGACATCCATGCTAACGTCGACAGTATCAGCATCCAATCGTTCTTTGCGTTTTTCAAACTTTGGCATGTTTGCAGCTCTCGTAATTTGATGCATTGACAACTGATGTAGCAAAAGTAATAAGATACAGCTGGCCTTTCTAAAACAGTAAAGTTTGGCCAGGAGCTCTGGAAACTTCATCTTACTAAGGTGCCATCTTGAACCCCCTCCATCCGGGAAAGGATTTATGAATGGTAGTGAACCATGCAACTGACACTGGTCACATGATAATGACAACATGACGATTGTAGTACGTCTAGATTAGTCAGTATTCTGTAAAAAAGATATGGCTTCTGTTTCAGGTCTTTTGTATGTGCCTTGTTAAATGAGCATTTTCCTCAGAACACCTTTAAAAGGAGTGAACAAAGACAAACATAACTGATGTCCATTGCACATCCATATTGATTTCTAAAAGTTTTTTGTCTTCCTCACTAATATGGGGTTAGAACTGTTGCATTATTCCAAATAAATAGATTGAGATTCACAAATATTAATTAAATTCACAAATGAATATATTAACATCAGCGTGCTACGATCGGTCAGTGGATTGTGGCTGTTATCTGATTGGCTTAAGTAGACGGTGGGTGGAGTCAGCTTATCTGTGGATTTGTCTGCATGTCTTTGCTAGAAATGTTTCAAAATCCACAAATGCCTGCTGTCAACACTTGTCAACAAGTGGATCTCTGAGCTGATGTGAGTGAGTGGAGGCGGAGCTAACTTGCATATTCATAGAACCACATTAAAGCTTTTTAAGGCATGAAGAATTTTTCTTCAAGAAAATAAAACCTTTAAATATGTAATTTTTGTGATCAAAGATGAGTTAAGGGATAAAATTGACTACAGGGGGGATTTTAAATAGACAAAATAAAATAGAAATAATTAGCTAGGTTAGGGGATCACTATCAGTTTGTGCCATAGTGTTAATGGCAGCACAAACCCTTTTACTGTCTGTCTCCGACCAAGGGGGTAATCCACCAGCCGGAAACTGAAGTCTCCCCGGGCGCCGCCATTGGTTAACAAGCCTTCACCTGCTGTTAGCATTCCATTGACTCCCATTCATTTTGGCGTCACTTTGACAGCAAATAACTTTACATCTGAGGCATTTAAAGACTGAATTTGTCCATTTTTTATTGCTAAAGAAACACGACAATGTATAAAAGGCTCCATTACCTTGTATCTTACGTTATGGCCCCGTGCAGTTTTTGTAAAAATAGGCTAACGATTGCATCATAACATGCGACTGTCGCGCAGTAGAGAAATTACCGTATAGACAGGAGCAGAAGCTCCTGTCAATCAGGGGGACGTGGAGGCATAAAGTCAAGGGAGAAGCCCATAGAGTCATAAAGTTGCTCCTGCTGCTGCTCAGCTCCTACTCACGCTCTCCGGCTCTGCAAGATTCGGAAGGGAATGATTCAGATTCCTCTTGGCGCAGCTATTAGAAGATGTACAACTGTAAGTCAGGTTGCTCACGTCACATCTACGCCGTCAAGCTCAGTTTGACTCAGCCATCAGGAACTGAGTGCTTCGAATTGACTTTTACTTTTCTCTGTTGAAGTCTATGGGGTCGCTGTGTCCATTTCTTTTACTGTCTATGTCTCCGACAAGCGGATGCAATGAGACCCGTTTCCGCTTTGTTCATGTGACGTTCTGCATAAAGCCTAGAGGATTCATTTTCCCATTTAAGAAGTACAAAATGGGGAATAAAAGTATAGATTTGGAATGCATACTTTTAAGTCATAAAAAAAAAAACCTTTTCTTTGACATAGGTCAATAAAAACCCCAGCTCATTACAAAGCTGAAACAGCACTTTTAAATGGAAAACAGTTTAATCAAGTAAAAAAAAAAAAGAAAGAGATTAGGAAAACTAAAGTGATTTTTACAGCACTTTTTCGCAGAAATGTTTTTTAGCTATATAAATTCAACATGCAAAGACTTATTTTCTAAAATAATCTTGAACATCCTTAGTCATTGACATGCCTTTTAAACTTGACGTTGAAAAATTGTAAAAATGATTAAAACACATTAATTAGCATTTACAATTTATTCATATTTGTAAACCACAAAGCAGAAGACAAGACTCAAAATAAACTTTATAGAGATTTTCCTCCCATAATTAATGGAGTTTACATTTATGAGAAAATAAATAATCCAACAAAATAAAGTCTCATGAGAGCTCAGCATCAGTCAACCATCCAAACTCATCTTGGCTGACATTTCAAATATTTTAGTAATATTAGTGATAAAGGCACAAATAGCATGAAGTGAAGATCTTGAAGTCACATATAGAAAAATGTGAGTGATTCAAGGCACCAAACGAAGGCACTAAGACGAGAGTGTACTCGTTACCACCGATTGTTCTGAGCCGACCTGAACAATGTACATTGGTACGACACACTGTACGGTCATGTTGTTGAGATCAATGTCATCATCCGCTCCTGTTGCCATGGTGACCAGTGGGGCAGCCAAGCTCACGCCCTCAGATAGAAAGGGATTCAACTCCAGGGCCTGAGGAGGAGATCGAGGCGAACCACCGCATGCAGAGAGATTTCATAGGGAAAAAGGAAGAAATAAAGGTTTCTTGAGCAGCAAATCAGCATATTAGAATGATTTCTAAAGGATCATGAGACTGAAGACCGGATTAATGATGCTTAAAATAAAGCCTTTAGGCTACATCATAGGAATACAAATTTATTCTCAAATATATTCAACTAGAAAACTGTAATATCATTTTATTTTACAATATTACCAGTGTTACACTGCTTTAAAAGCAACATAGCTACTGTCAAGCTACTGAAAAATGTAGTTTAGTAGCGTTGCTACTTGTAGTTAGCTACTCCTCAATACTGAATATTACAGATTTACTGTATTTTTGATCCAACAATACAAAGCCTTGGTGTCCGAGAGTTAAATGTAGTTTAGTAGCGTTGCTACTTGTAGTTAGCTACTCCTCAATACTGAATATTACAGATTTACTGTATTTTTGATCCAACATACACAGCCTTGGTGTCCAAGAGAGAGAGGGGAACAAAAAAATCCAAACTTTTGATTTGTTAGTGTGACATCTGATTGAAAGCATTTACTTAAAACACATTTTACACACTTCTAGAACTGGAAAAATTCATCAATGAACTCACATCCTCCATGCTCCAGAGATCAGAACACTCACTCTCCATGCTTGAGTAGTTGATTCCAGTGTCCAGAAAAACATTTGCATTCCCATTTCCCTGCCACACACACACACACAGCATCAAGTACTTTGCACTCGTACTGCATATGAATGCTCTTGTAATATCTTGTAGGACAAAAGGGAATGGCGTGCATGGGGTTTGACTCACAGTGGCAGAGGTGTGATTGAGGACCGCTGAGAGGAGCCGGATGTACTCTGTTGCAGCCTTCAGCATGTCCACTTTACTGGGCTTTCGATCTTGCGGCATCACTGGCACAATACGGCGAAGGTACGAGAACATGCTGTTCAGGCTCCTCACCTGTGTGGTGCAGCAGATGACACCATTAACAGGCAAAATTTCACAACATCTTTGACTGAACCAAAGAAATAACACGAAAATGGAGCTGAGGAACAAACTGGTCTCACGATGATTTTGGGAAACGCAGCCCTGATGAATACAATAGGGTGGATCAAGACCAGTATTTTGGTTTTTAAAGGAAGTTACCCAATAGTGAAAATTCCATAATTTACTCACCCTCCCCTCCCAAACCCATACTGACTCACTCACATTTCTACTACATGCTTCTTTTACAAAATATAAATGACTTGAAAACACAGAAATGCTTTACTGTAGCCCAGCATCATGAACGACCATCACGGAGTAATTAAAGTGAACGTGTCACAATGCATTAGATCAACTCGGAGAAAGTCAGCAAGTCTCTCTAATTAGGCTATACATTTTTGAAAATGTCCATAATTAAAAATTGTATATTTGGAATCCTGAGAGCTTCCATTCAGAGAGAGCAGGCTTAAAGGAAACAATTATGCATTACAGCTTAAAAAGTCCATGGTAATTTTATCCCTTAATCATCTTTGATCACCAAAATTACATATTTAAAAACATTTTCCTTGAAAAAAAATTCTTCATGCCTTGAAATAGCTTGAATGTTATGCAACTACACCATTGCCTCATTTAGTATATGCGGTTCTATGAATATACAAATTAACCACACCTCCACCCACTCACACCAGCTCAGAGATCCAGTCGTTGACAATCACACGTTGACGTGATTGGTTACAAGGTAGTTTGTGACGTCAGAAACACCAGCGATTTCAAACCGTGTTTTTGAGACTGTCACTGCAGTTTTAAGGAGAAAATACTCAGCAATTTGTACATGGTTTGTCTTAAAGCATATTTAAAACACCACATTGACAAACAATATTAAAAGCTTGATTTTCACCACCGGGGAACTTTAAGACCTGCCATTTGAACATTTATTTCTGTCAAAGCTGTAGTTATTAAAATAGAAATGCATTTACTGAAATGTCAACGAAGCAGGAGAACAGCGTTCCAGCTGAAGCAGGAAGGCCTTTATTACACCATCACTGGCCCTGAGATTTTGAATAGCAAATCTCTCAGGTGAAAGTCAATTAAAGATCTAAGGGACTGTTCGTTATTTATTTAAGGGGCCACAGGAGGAGATTTTAGATCTGTAGTCAAAAAAGACTTGACATGACCCTCCCCGATAATTTATTAATTACTTTTGTACTGGTTTTGGCAAAGATGTTCAGATAGCCATTCCACGATAAACGACTAAACTCCTGCTTTCTTATCTTGCGGCTGTAACGATAGACCAAACAATTTGGTATCACGATTTTTGATTTTAAAAAAATCAATCAATCAATCATCTTTTCGGTGCTGATGCCGTGGTGACGCGTTCATGTAAAATGTAAGGGTGGCGCTGCCAGTATCTTAAAGCTGCCACAAATAACCGGCAAAAGTAATGATTATGAATAATTTCAAGGGGACATTTTAATTGTTTATTAATAAACAAGTCTTTGTCAGTGTGGCTGCAAATATAAAGGTGATGATGCTGACTCGCGATCTTCGCAGTAGTGAACTCGCCAGAGAGAAATGCACATTTACGGATTACAGAAGCAGAGTCTGTAGTCTGTTTTCTTTCGTTTTGAATTATTCTGTTAAAAAGTAGACATGTCAAGCTTTCTATATATTTATCTGTAAAAGTTTTAAAGTCACTTTCAGAGCGGTCATGTCCGTAACGGAGAACTGTCATGTCAGTAAAAAATGTTCCCTCATAAATGCGAACATGAAAAAAATAAAAAGAATATTTTGTGTTATTAACAGTCAGTCTCAAACCAGGACAATTCGATGATTGTTGTGGTTATGTCTCATTTCGACATATGTGTGCTGCATGCAACAATCAAGATGTGCATTTGTAAATCCAGCTATATTTGTTTCTTATTAATTAAATCCAGGTAATTGGTTGATGAAAAATTGATTCAAATTAAGATACAATTTATACAAAACGAAATTCACTTTTAAAGAAAGGCTTTCTACAAAACACTTAATGAAGTGGTCAAAATTATGTCTGGCCATGTCTCCCGATATATTGCGTATAGCCTATACTTTTCATAATCAACATAGATGAAAAAAAAACATAATAAATATGAAACTAAATGCGCTTATTATGGCTACAACACATAGGCTACAGACTCTATTTGTACAAATTGCTGCACATTCATTTCATTCAGAATTTTGCACACAAGTTGAAAGGCATTTGTTTGTGCATAGTAAAACATATCTGCAACATTTATCAAGTTCACTGATAATTGTGGGTGCATTTATTAATCAATATGATACTAAAATCATAATAAAGTAGTAGGGTTCCAAATTCGCGCGCTGCCATTTTCGTCTTCCTTCTGTGGATTTCTTCAGCTCCTGATTGGTCAAATTCAGATAGATCGACAAAACGGCTCATTCAACTGCACAGCGCACACACCTCACGAATTCAAGCCTACAGCTCCCGAACTTTTTAGACATGTTTAAAAATGATCGTGAGGATTTAGCCAGTGAGCAAACATTACAAGGTCGAGAGGTTCGGCTCGGCTCGGCTCGGCTCTTCCTAGCACACGACACGAGCCGCAACATGCGAGCACAAGCGATTTCCACGCGATTTCTCCCGAGTGAAAAAAATCATCTGCGAGCTCGTAAAAGAGCAAAAAAAATAAATCGCACCGTGTAAGCCCGCCTTAAGGGAGTATGAATATATAAACATACGTTTCAGTATTAAATGCATTTTCTGAGAATTTATATTTCAAGTTTTGACTGCAAATGTTACGTCCATAAGGCTGGAATTGCCCAATTTTAAAGAATTTATCCTCAACAAGTTTTTTTGGGTGTAGGTCTACGTATGCTATTATGTTAACTTCAAATAATACGAATAATTTAAAAATGTGGTAGCCCTATGTCCAACACATCACACTCCACTGTTATTGTGGCAATTTCAGTAGATTTGCTCACTAACATTGTTGTGGAAACACAATAAGAATGGAAACTAAAATAGTATCGTGCTACAGCGCACATCAGCTGCAGTTCTGGCGCCTCAGTCCCATTACTATAAAACTCGTCGTACATTCACATCACATGTTAATGCAGCGGTAGAGTTACACTCACAGGACACTGCACTTATTCACAATCCCAAAAGTTCATTATTTTCTCGTGCTTTAAAGCTTTGCCGGGTAAACATTTCATTCGCGTTCTGTTCTAATGCACTTTTTTTGAGCGCGTAGCCTATTGAAGCGCGCGCACTGTCAGACAGCGCCAAACTGGATTTTTGTTGGGTCAGACCCATCTGATAGCGATGGGGGGGCCGAGACCGAGAGAGCTGTAGCTACATGGAAAGAAATATGCACCAAACAAGCCACTTTGAAATTTCGCTGTTTTGATGAATACAAAAGTTGGGTGACCCTCCCCTATAGACTAAAAATGTTGGATGACCCTCCCCTCAACAAAGAATAAAAAGACATGACCCCCTCCCCTATTTCCTCCGGTGGCCCTTTCCATAAATACCGAACGGTCCCTAAAAAAAAGGGGGAAAAAAGAAAAAGAAAAAGGAACTGCAATCTTTCTGTAAAGCCATAAAAAAACGGATTTTGTCTCGCTTTTGTTACAGTTTAAATAAAACTGGAAACTTGCTCCTAAGATGATTTTAATGCACCAGGAAAGACTAGTCTTAAAAAGATGACAATCCATCACAAAGGATAAAATAAAACACTACAATATTTACTGTAAAAACCATTCAGCCCCTTTTACACAAAATTTCAAATATTTTAGTTGTGCTCGCCTTGCACCCTAAAGTTTTATCAAAAGTTAGTGTATTACCATGGATAGAGAGTCAGTGAAGAGCATAAGATGAAATGAGAATGAAATGAGAATATTTTTTACCAGTAGCCTTTTTCAGTCAAGCTGTAAATGGAAACATGCAAAAAAGGGCAAAACATTTATTTTTAGCATTACTTTTTGAAACGTTTAAAATTAAGTTTCCATCACAGAATGGCATCAAGTAAAACAGTACCGTGACTTAACGTTACAGAACTAATGAACTAATGTAAACCTGAGGCGCTTCACTCGCCAAAAGAGGGCAGCAATGTACAAATGCTGGAAACAACTTATTAGGCTATGCTTGCTGACTGTCGTGAACTTTGCAAACACTCACCCGCAGTCGCTCCTTTGCGTTTGCAAGCTGTCGTCTCTTAACAGCTTTATCTCGGTCCTCCGTATCGAGGTACTGGCCGTCGTCCAAACGGACAAATTTACCAATATTCACGTGAACGGGAAGTGAAGGTTCAGCGCTCTCGCACAACAAAATATCGCCCATAAGCTCGCGCTCTGGGACTTTCATGAGACCCACTATGGCCCTGAACTTCCTGCCGGTCATTTCACCTGACATTCGTGTATTTTCTTTAAAATACTAAATGAGAAAATTGCTCAGCAGGCCTATAATCTAAAATAACATAAAGCAAATGTTATGTTTGGAAAAAAAAAGCCTTTTAATTGATCATACTGTAGAATCTATTGGTCTAGAAGTTGGTCAAATGACTCATTAAAAATCTAATTCTAACTAAAAGCACCTGTGCGACAAACTCCACCCTAACCGATGTAGATTACGTGCTTTTCAGTCTTCATCGCTAGATGGCAGTGCAAGGTCATATTGAATCTGCATGAAAAGTCATTTCACCCTGAATCCTTTCCAAAACGACTGATGTGATTGAACGTAAAGTTCTTACTCTGCTGGCAGTAATGTTGATATCCTGATAAAACATTTTTTTTTAATTGAATGGGACGACTGGGATAGTTGCCACGTGGGGAAGTTCCAACGCTATCTCACGACCAAAATGTGACTAAGCTTCTCCTTTGTTTCAAACTTTCAACAACAGTGTTTCAATTTTCATTGAACAACAGCAACAACAATGTAGGCCAGCTTACCTCTGAAAGCTGTTCATGCCTGTCAGGTCAAGTTTTGTAGCATACCAAAATAGCAGATTTGATTTGCATAAACATTGCATCATCATTCCTATTTTTTTGTTTTGTTGCATTTCCTCCCTTTCAATAGATAGCCTACTACAGATCCATCCCCACTTCTTGACTCAGTGAAACTGTGTTTAAAGTGTCACTGGTCATAAACATAATTCACTGAGAACAATTACACACTTACACAAATACGCTCATTAGCCTGAGCGAGTGGCATTGTGCTGAACACATACTGTTTATCTTATCACCTTCTTTCTTTTGTAAGAAATCATCCTTTATGAACCAGTTAAGTGGAAATGCATCATACTGGTGAGTCATTTGTCTGCATATACTTTTAAAAACAATATCCTTTTTTTTCAGAGAGAAGATGTATAAAAATGTGGATTAATCATAAATATTCCAAGCAAAATTCAATAATAATTAACTAAACATCTTAGTGTGGTGAAGTCTGAAAATAATCGAATGTAAACATCCTGTTCATCTTTATTACTTCCTTGTTATAATTATAATTCGTTACATTTATATAGCGCTTTTCTGTGTACTCAAATCGCTTTAACAATTTGTTAAAGGCATAAAACCCCACCTAACTTTTAGGCTATGAATGGATAACCTAATGACGCATCACGGAATCACCAGATTGAGAGTGGATAAAGTTGTCCTGCATCGGTCTTACATCATACAACATAGGGGCTACATCTGACATAACCGTTCTGTAAAGGATTTGATTCAGTGTATTATATGCTGTTGTTCCCCATAATGACAAAGAACTCTTATCACACTTCTTATCACATTTGGTTTTGAACATAATAAAATGAAATAAAAAAGAAGCAAACAATGTCTCAAACTCAGTCTGCTGGACAGTAATCAGTAATTATCTCCATAATTCACAACTATAATGGGCTAATGTCCTACTTTCCAATGCCTTGGATACAATTGTGAAAGACATCAAATTGATTTTTCTTTTCTGTTTTTGGCTGTTATTATTTAAAAAAAATGATTAATATGTAAACAACAAGAAGAAGAAGTGTTATGAAAACATTCATCACAGAAGACTTTCATATGTTGCATTCATTTCAGCAAGTAAAGATACATTTAGTTTACAGCTTATATATATATATATATATATATATATATATATGAACAGTTTTGTTTCCATCACAACATTTTTAGCAGTGTGATATTACCATCGAGAAGAAATTACTAAATCAAAATACAACAAAAATACAACATTTATTCTATAAGACAAAAATTGAAAACAGATCAAAAAGTGTGCTCACAATTGTTCATGCAAGAGACTGTGTCCCCGCAGTTATGATTTTGAGAACAACTGAGGCCGTCGTGGGTTTGGAATCTGATCAGCTGCGGTCTTACATTAATGTGCCTGTGGGATGTCAGGAACTCAATTCATGCTTATCTGATGACAGGGGACCAGCTCTCTCCAAAGACATTCTGTGAATTCATAATCATACTAACCCACGTTAGAAGGAAAAGTGGTGTAGCAGGTATTTCAAAAGTGAGCTTCAGTGAAAGGAGGAGTACTGACAACAGTCACTTGAAGAACTGATTTATTTTGTACAACACTCTTGTTGCTTTTTATTTTTTTACAAAAAAAATCTCATATTAAATAATACAGTGACATAATGTCATCAAAGTATATGCAATTAGAAATATTCTAATTAGAATCTGCCAACAAATACCATGACTGTTTTTTAGACTGTACAAGATGGTCACATGGTTTTTAATAAAAAAAAAAAAAAAAAAAAACCAACACATTTTCAGTGATTTCTGACCTTCTGAACTCTCTCTAGTTCATATCATGTCTGAGCAATATGGAAAAAATCTTTTAGACTCCCAAATGTGTAGGGGGACAAATGCAAAGTTTGAAGTCAAGACACTGTTCTAATAAAGAAGTCATAATGAAACTATTGCTGTATTATGTCATACAAGGAGACGTGCCAAGTTGCACATCTTTCAAGGTTGTGTCATACAGACCAAACAAACTAATTCAGATGAAGAGCACTTACTCTTGCAGCAACCTAGACTCCTATATTCTTAAATACATAAAAACATCATCCCATTATCCGGTTTAACCAGAGCTTTCGCTGACAAATGATCTAGAAGTATGGCTACAGTAAATTGCAATTTTTATCATGTATTTTTTAATGCATGACATGATCAAACTGCTAAAAAATTAAGACATATGCTAGCCTACAGAAAATTTTATTAAAAAATACAAAATTATAATTTTATTATATCATAAATTATACTGGGATTGGTCGAGAGTCTGGGTGGGGGGGGGGGGGGGGGGTCCCAGAGTCTGTAAAGTTTGACACGCCTTCTTTGCGGCCAATCAGCAACAAGAATCTCAGTGACGTAAAACTACTCAAATTACTAGTGTGAAGTGGGTGGAATTAATAGTGACATCACTTTGCATCATCATTGTACCGGATAGCGCAAGTCCAAGAAAGAGTTTGAGAAACTTGAAGAACATGAGCTCGCACCCAAAGTGACTTACAATCAGTTCAGCTCACATTCAACACACTTAAGAAGTTTAAGACACCCCAAGCTGACAGAAGACGATGATCGCCTCTCATTTACTGGCATACTACTTCACTGAGCTCCATCATGACCACGTCCAGAAAGTAAGTAGCCTACAGTAGCCGGCTCGCGCTAAAAGCCGGCTTATCGTCATCTCGCTTTGTATATTGACTTAATGTTAATCAGGCCGATGGATGAGTGAAGATGATTATCGGTCAGTTACAATGTTGGTTTGTTTGTTTTTATTGTAAGTCGTTTACATCCTTTCGCATCCACACGTGTGTGTGTGTGACAGCGAGGTCAGTTTTACATCACTTGACACAAGATACTATCACGATCCTACTTATAACAGACTTTGAGATCCTTAGTTTATTGAATATTCCGTTAGGCCTAACGTTATATTGATGTCCTATTCTAAATTTCCCCCACATCGTGTATTTCCCCTTACCGCATGAGTCCCGTGCGTCAGTCGCAAAACGTCAGTTTCCGCATTTTTGAAGTATGAAGAGTAACAAGTTAACGTTACGTAGTTTGGGAGTTGGGAGCTGCTCCATACCAATAATAACATTAGATGATATTCGTGTCCATAATATACTAGGCTATATTTTTAGTATATACATAACCGTATGTCTGCCAGTTTGAAATAATGGTCTATAAAAACAATGATAATAAAGGTAAAAATGATATTGGATAAACTAGCTGGGCGAGTTTTTGTGGCGCTTCCTGCCACGACGTACCTTTAACTGAGCGAGTGTTGCTCTGGTAACCTGAGACTCGAGCGCCCTGCTAGTCACGTGTGTCATCACTCATCACCTCCTGGGCGCTCGACTTCATTATGACAAAAGCAAGCAGTGACTTCTGTGACCTCTGACAAGTACTTGCATTGCCACACTTAAAAAAAGAATAAGAACTGTGATTAAGTTAATTTGATGTGATGTCCTTCTCCCTACTCGTCAGAGCAACTCAGGAATTGACAAGATGTTTTCTTACCAAGATATTTATATTTTATGCACTCCAATGCCTTCATATTCATTGTGATATACGCCAAAGCTTAATCTGTGTTTGTTCACACATTAGCAGATTGCAGTTGACAGCCCTTTTTTATATAGGCTACGTAGACTGTTTGATTGTAAACAAGACTATCAACTGCATTCCTTTATTGAACTAACTGACTCACCTTTGTTTGGTTAACTAGTGCTGCGTGAATTAAACTGCACTGGATGAATAGTTGTCTGCCAAGTCAGCTATTACCCTCAGTGTCTTATACGTTATCAACAAATGGCCAAATGAATGGGATCATTGTACAAACAACAAACTGTATGAAATTAATATACTGTGGTTAAAAGTTGCATTTCTATTTTCAATTGTCCCTGGGATCAGATGATATTCACAATGTCGAATAGAACATTCCAGAATCAAACACAAATTCTTAATACCAAATGAAGAACCACTGCTATGTTCCTCATGCCAGAGTAGAGTAGGCTATCTCTTAAACATATTAAACTCACAAATATCTTATTAGTAGATAGGGATGGGACGGTAAGAAAATTTCATATCACGATTATAGTGACCAAAAAGATCACGATTATCAATATTATCACGGTTTTGTTAAAATGAGATAGAAATGTTCAAAAAGAACTGATACACACTGAAAACATTTCAACAAGTTAATAATAAATCACTTACTCTCTCTCACTCACACACACACACACACACACACACACACACACACACACACACACACACACACACACACACACACACACACACACACACACACACACACACACACACACACACACACACACACACACACACACACACACACACACACACACACACACACACACCCTTTAAATGAACAAAATATGTTGGTTGGGCCAGGGTGACTAAACAGCAACGATCAATAGCAACGCAAACACAGCGCACATCCATGTCTCGGACCACCGCGGGCGCGATCTCTAGTTTCATTATGTGTAGCTATGTCTTGCGTCTTTGGATTGTATTGAAAATGAAATAAGAGTAATTTAGAATTAATACTGCTATAATATTGTTGTAGTGATCATATTGTCTTGACGATTGTTTTGTATACTGTAACTTACATAATGAGTTTATAAACCGGTAAGATTTAAAAACATTAACGGTAATCTTCACAATTCAATTTTTCATGTCCCTGAAATTATTTCTGTGGTAAAAATAAATTAAAAAGCTGTGTAATAAGTTTACTATGAACAAATACAATACATTATCCCTTAAATGTCACCCGTAATAATTTGAACATTTTCGTTCGTCTTAATTGGCTCAAAGCCACTTGCTGTAAAACTTTTCTTCTCGGAAGCTATGCGTTAATTACAAGTTAGATAATGAAATATTTAATCTCTAATCAATATTTTTTGTCCAATTATTTGCCGAAGTAGTTTTGGTATTGAGGTAAAAGTTAACTTGCCTTGCATTCGCTAGATAACAGTGGGTGGTTGTCACTAAGATGACTTAGCAGATGTGAGGTGTTTCCTTCCCCCTTTTGCAGCGACTTTCCTCTTGCAAGATCTGCAGACAGCTGGGTACCCATCCTCGATTAAATTGCACTCAGGACTCTTGTAAATAGCCAAAATACGACCACACCTCAGATTTTGTCCTCTTGGATGGCTGAAAAATCTCCCGAGCGCTGTCACTGCCTTCCGCCATGTCTTCTCGTGCAAAAAACAACAACGTTGCATGCTCGCGCGGCATCGCGCCTAGACTGATTCTGGCTGGACAGGATTTACTGCGAGTTTTCAAAATCACGATAATCAAACTCGGTTTTAGTGATAATTAAATTTTAAACGATAATACTAACCGTCAGGAGATGTTATCATGGTTTATCGTGAAACCGGTAATCGTCCCATCCCTATTAGTAGAGACATCTATCATGAATAAATCAAATATGTTTTGATAAATTATTCTTAGAAATATCATCAAATCAGCATTATAGCTTTCCAGAGTTATTGGTCTATATGAAAAATTATAATATTTTCATTGCATTTACGAGCACTGCAATCACACTCACATCATACATAAGACAACACACATCAGTTTAACACAGAAATAATGAAGACTTAGTTACTTTTTTGTCCATCCTTCTTTGAATTTTTCGTTCTACATTATTGTCTTCGGTGTATCAGATCAGTAATTCAGCGTGTCATCGCATTCATAATCAGATGTACCGTAGGATCAGTATCCTTATCTGAACATGTCATATATTTAATTTGAAGAAGACATGATGAAATATGCCTATGTGTGCATTGCATACACAGTGCTGGTTCATGTTTGGAGCACTAGGAATGAAATATGTCTATAAAAACTTGAAACATGCTTGCTCTGGTCCAGTTATGACTTATGATCCGCATTGCGAGTTTTGTTAAGGACTGTCTGAAGGACAACAACACAAAGCTGAACAGGCAGAGGTGAACGAAAAGTGCTGAGACTGTCTTTTGTTGACATTTGAATTATCTGCTGTAATGTGGTCTCATATGGCACATTGATTGGATTAAAAGAGTTAATTCCTATGAATAATGCAGAGAAAAGCTCAAAAATTGATGACAAGACGCTCTCCAGACACCGCACCACTCTGAATTTACGCATATACCGCAATTTTTGTGACTTTCGTTCAACTTTGCTTTTCAAATGATACATTTTTACTCTATGATGGTTAAAGTTTGCAATTAATCCGAGAATCACGTGCGTTACGAACAGGGCTTGACATTAACTTTTTTGCTCACTAGCCAATGTGGCTAGTGGTTTTCCAAAGTTACTAGCCACACAGCATTTTTACTAGCCACATTTTTGTTGTTGTGAAATTACCTGATTAAAGTTGACTATGGCGTGCTAAAATTTACTTGAACTAGATTTACAACCCTTTTAAATCTAAAACCACTGTACACACGCAAATCAAGACTAGGTATAACAATACAGGTCATTATCATTAGCTCTGATAAGGTTGTGTGTAAAGCTCCTTTAAAGCTCCTATAAAACCATGTATTAAGATGAAGACATAGCTTCTTATTGCATAATAAAAGTGGTGCATGGATGTAGAAGATTAATAAAAAATATAAAAAACTAAACAAAAAACCTTTAGCATTAGAAACACTGTCTGTTTAAATATCAGAATCAGAATTACTTTATTGAGCCCCGATGGGAAATTCTTTGTTACAAGTTGCGTTTTCTGTGTCTTTGCACACCAGAAACGTGTCTGACTGGTGTCTGCTGGTAACGTACATGGAGGGCTATCTCGGGATTCGGGCGTTGCAGCATAGACGGCAAAATAGGCTATAAGAATATTTCGTTCTGTATTGACAGGTGCAATATTTGATTTTTTTTTAATTATATCTGCATTTGCCAAAACCTATGGACTTTCAAACATAAAAATGCCATTTATTAATATGTGTTCGTGTCAACATGACATATTTTCCTATTCTATTTAGCCTGGAAACGCTTCCAACAGGCTTGCGTGTCGCGTGAGAAATAGGCGTCGGTTTTTTTTCTAGCATGCACGCGTTTTCGGCGCGGCTCGAGACGCGCGTCACGCAGGCAGTGTGCAAGTTCTAACCTGTTAACATGGGAGCCGAAATAAAAACGGACACACCACGCAGCTGAGACGCGCACGCCACGCAGCCAGTGCGCTTCAGATGCCTTTTGAAAAGACTACAATTATTCAACCCGCCAAAGTGGCTAGTTGAAGTGACTGTGTTACCCGCCACGAGCAAAATCCACCCGCATTTGGCGGGTTGGCGGGTGTTAATGTCAAGCCCTGGTTACGAACCATGGTCCCTGGTCCGTGCACTGTAAAAAATGATCGTGATTTCAACGGTGAAAGACTGTAAAAATAGACTGTAAAAAATATGCTATAGTGCAAAACTGTTAATTGGTTAATAGAAAGTTTCCTTACTATATACGGTAAATAACTGTGATAGATCTAATGGTACATTTAATGCAGGGTTCTCAAGTTTGATCAAAAGCTTGGAGTGAGATCACATGCGGTTAGGGGAGGAGCCTTAATGGAGCCCCGCCCCCTCCCATCCCCGCCCCCAATTTGACCCATTGTTCATAATAACCAGCACAAATTGAA